TAAATTGGAATGTTAGAGGTATAAACTCCCAAACCAGATGGGATGATTTAAGGGACAAAATTGATGAAAGAAATTGTGGTATTATTTTCCTACAAGAAACAAAAAAAATTATTTTGACCAATATTATCTCAGAAATTTCTCTCATAGGAGATTTAATCAATATGCATATACCCCTTCAGTGTGACTGTCTGGTGGGTTGATAACTATATGGAATGGCAGCCTTTTCAGTGGTACAATTATTAGCCAATTGTCATTTCAGATCATAATCAAGCTATTATGCAATCTCTCAGGCCACATTTTCTATGTCAGCAATATTTATGGACCCTGCCAGAATGAGAACAGATCGGATTTCTTTGACTGGTTGGACAATATTGATGCCTCACAAATGGATCATTGGATTCTTATTGGAGATTTTAACTTAATCAGAAGTCCACATGACAAAAATAGACCTGGGGGAGATACAAACAATATGCTTAGATTCAACGGTCTTCTGCAGCAACTTGATTTGGTGGAAATTCCACTCAAAGGAAGGAACTATACATGGAGTAACATGCAAGACTCACCACTTCTGGAAAAACTAGACTGGATATTTACCTCAGCTAATTGGACTATAACTTTCCCAAATACTCTGGCACATCCTCTTGCTAGAGTATCATCTGATCATATTCCAATTCATATTCAAATTGGCAGTGATATTCCAAGAGCTTCTATATTCAGGTTTGAAAATTATTGGCTTGAGTTTGATGGATTTTATGAAACAGTATTACAATACTGGAACATAAACCAACATATGTCAAATTCTGCAAATTATATTACTGCTAGATTCAGATGCCTCAGATTAGGACTCAAGAAATGGAGCAAAAACCTATCGAAGCTCAATACTAATATCTCTGCTTGTAATTATGTCTTATCTATGATGGATGGTATTGAAGACCAAAGAGCCCTGAGTACTATGGAAGCAAATTTCAAGGACATTCTGAAGCAACACATCCTCAAATTATTGGAAGTTAAAAGGATCTATTGGAAATCTAGATTTAAAATGAGAAGTGTGAGAATGGATGATGAAAACACTGATTTTTTTTCATGCCATGGCCACCCAAAGCTACAGGAAAAATTATATCACCTCTATTGTTGGAGAGAAACACTTACCAAAATCATGATCATAAAGCTGCAATTATTTGGAAATCTTACAAAGACATATTGGGCACATCCATTGATCCTCCCATGCTCTTCAATCTTGAGGAACTTATCCAATCACAAGACCTGTCAGACCTTGAGGCACAATTTACAATGGAGGAAATTGACCAAGTTATCAAGGAATGTCCTACTGACAGAGCACCTGGACCTGATGGTTTTGATGGCACTTTTTTAAAAAATGTTGGGATATGATTAAACAAGATTTCTATACCATGATATGGGATTTCTTTGAAGGAAAATGTGATATTCACAGTATTAATACTGCTTTCATTACTCTCATCCCAAAGATTACTAATCCAGAGAATATGAATGATTTCAGGCCAATCTCGTTGGTCAGTCTGCCACTCAAAGTTATTACTAAACTTTTGGCCAATAGAGCTCAAAAGATCATCACTTCTATTATTCACCAGAACCAATATGGGTTTATTAAAGGTAGAAATATTCAAGACTGTCTGGGATATGCATTTGAATATCTCCATTTATGCCATCAGTCAAAAAAACCATCATCATATTGAAACTAGATTTCGAAAAGGCATTTGACAAGATTGAATATAAGACCATTATTGCTATGTTAAAGGCTAAAGGATTTGGACCTAGATGGATAAATTGGGTAACAAACATTCTTCAATCTGCATCAACTTCTGTTCTGCTTGAGTGGCTGGAAAAAAGATTATTTGCAAGACAGGAGTCAGACAAGGTGATCCACATTCCCCTTTACTTTATATCATCACCGCTGATCTCTTACATTCTGTGGTTAATGCTGCTAGGGCCAATGGAGAAATCTCTCTACCTATCAACCATGATTATGGACAGGACTATCCTATTATCCAATATGCAGATGACACCTTAATGATTATGCCAGCTAATGAAGACCAAATTATGCACCTCAAATATTTGCTCAACATATTCAGTCTCTCCACTGGTCTGTTTGTCAATTACAGCAAATCATCCATGATTCCCATCAACATTGATCAGCAAACGGTTACTATACTTGCAAATTAATTCGGATGTAAGGTGGAAAGTCTGGCATTCACTTATCTGGGCTTACCCATGGGCACCACCAAACCCTCTGTTATGGATCTCATCCCTGTCATATCCAAAATTGACAAAAGACTATCTGGAGTGACTAGATTCATGAATTACTCTGGCAGGCTCACATATGTTAACTCTATTGTTGCCTCCATGCCCGTTTTTTCAATGTGCTCTCTAAAAGTTCATTACACCATATTGGATCATGTGGACAAATCCAGCAGAAACTTTCTTTGGTATGGAAAGGAGATTAATAGAAAAGGTAAATGCCTTGCCAGGTGGGATATGATTTGCAAACCAAAAAATCAAGGAGGACTTGGAGTATTAAACTTGAGAATGCAGAACAAAGCCCTACTTATCAAACATCTCTACAAATTTTACAATAAGATGGATATTCCTTGGGTTAAGCTAATTTGGGAGGCACACTATCAGAATAATGAAGCTCCACACACAAATCCCAGCAAAGGATCCTTTTTGTGGAAAGATTGCATGAAAATGTTTGATCTATTTAAAGAGATGACAACATGTGAGATCAAAGCGGGAAACTCTTGCAAACTTTGGGATGATAACTGGAATGGAGAGGTCATGAAATTAAAATACCCTGAACTTCACTCTTTTTGCCTTCAGGAGAATATCTCAATTAGGGCAGCCGAAGATTCTGGAAACCTCTACAACTTATTTCAATTACCATTGTCCATCACTGCGCACCGACAATTTCATCTTCTAGCTGATCAATTACATAGCATCAGATTCAACAATGAACATGATATATGGAGTTTCCAATGGGGTAGCAGTATAAATATGACCAAGAAAATTTATAACTTCTTAATGAGGAATGAGGATGCTGAAGTAACCTTCAAATGGGTATGGAAATCATGCTGCCTGCCAAAGCATAAATTCTTTTGCTGGCTTCCACTTCATGATAGAATAAACACATGTGACCTCCTGACCAGGAAAAATATGCATCTTGATTCCACTCAATGTGTATTATGTGATGCCGAAGATAATGAAGACAGAATGCATCTACTATTCTCATGTCCATTCAGCCAGGGTTTTTGGTGGAACATTGGTCTTGAATGGAATACATACCTGAATATTCATGATATGATTATTGAAGCCCATCAAAGATATCGCCAACACCATTTCATGGAAATTATGATTGTTGGATGCTGGAGTATATGGAATGAAAGAAATGGACTGATATTTGAAGGAATCCCATGCTCTATCAATGATTGCAGATATGAATTTATCAAAACTTTCAAGTTGACTATGCTAAGAGCCAAACCTAGTCTAAAGGAGGGCATGTCATCTTGGATTGATAACATTTAATAATTTTTTTGTACTTTTCAATAATCTCCCCTGGTTGTCTCCCCAACAACCATTGTAAAGACTATGTTTCCTCCTATTTATATGAAAAAGATCTACAGTAAGGCTTTTGCCTTACTGTTTTATGGTCAAAAAAAGAGTTCTTAATATATGATGAAAAATTTATAATATGCAATGAACTTTTCATATATTACACAAAAAATAAAATAGAATCAAAACAGATACAAAAAACGGAACAAACAAAGCAGAACCGTAAGCCAAAAAACCCTAGAAGAAAAAACCCCCGCAGAAAACAGCGAAGGAAGCAGCGGCGATCAAACATCATGTGGATCCTGTATGTGGGCCAGCCCAACCGGAGCCTCTCCTCAGCGAAGCCATGACTATTTGGCGCCCGCGGGCGGGAAATAGGATTGGCCACACATCACAGCCCCAGCTGCACACCATAGAGCCACTAGTTGGCAAGCGCTCCTTCAGGAGCCTCCCAATGATCACTTGGGGGGAGGCTCCCAAGTGGCACGCTCTCAGCCGCCGCCACATGTCGCGCTCTCGACGCTCCCTTCAGATTATTTTTTATTTTCATACACGTGTTTTTGGCTTTTTAGATATTTTTTTGGTCTTTTTCGACTTCTCGGTTTATCACCGGTCTTTTCTAGCTTTTCATAAAAAAATTCAAAATGTGTTTTTTTCTCTTCCTTTAGAGGCACGGTTTTGCTTCCGCGAGAGGCACGGTTTGCTTTCGCGAGAGGCGCGGCCGCCATGCCTCTCGAAAATGAAAAAAAATGTTTTTCTTTTTTTTCGTGAGAGGCATGGTTTTGCTTCCACGAGTGGCACGGCAGTACCTCTCGGAAACGAAAAAACGTGTTTTATTTTCTTTTTTCTTCTGTCAGAGGCACGGTTTTTACTTTCGCGAGAGGCATGGTCGTGCCTCTCGGAAACGGAAAAAAGAAACGCATTTTCTCTTTTCTTTTCTTTCGCGAGATGCACGGTTTTGCTCCCGCAAGAGGTACGGATTTGCTTTTGCGAAAGGCACGGTTGTGCCTCTCGGAAACGGCTCCCGGCAAAGGAAAAAACGTGCTCGCGGTTCGTGCCTGATTTTTTCACCCGTTTTTTTTGGAAAAAAAGATTCATAACATGGGATCTAGTTTTGAAGATCTCGATGTGAGGAATCCAAAGATGAAAACGGTTCGAGATTTGGATGCACGGTTTTATAGATAAAACATTCTGAATAAATAGATCTAAGAAAAAAGCGAAAACTCTAAAGTGGAAGTGATATTTGGAAGTACTGATTTGACGCTGCGCATCGTCCCGAGTGAGCTGTATTTAAATGCGCTGGGCCAAGCAATTATGTTCTCTCCTCTTCTCTTATCGACCTCGGCCTCCGTGTGACACAGGAGAAGCGAAACACAGTGTACAAACCCAGCCACGCCTTCAGCGATCAGCCGATCACGATGCTGCGCGTCGGGGACTCCTCCGGCGCGGCAGCGCTGGGGGCGGTGGCGGCAAGGAGGAGGTACCACGAGCGGGTGGTGGACCACTACAGCAACCCACGCAACATGGGGGCGTTCGACAAGGACGAAGCCGACGTTGGCACCGAGCTCGTCGGCGCGCCGGCCCACAGGGATGTCATGAAGATGCAGATCCGCGTCGACCATGCCTCTGGATCCAGGGCCGGCCCTGAGGGGGGCGAACGGGGCGGCCGCCCCGGGCCCCCAAAAGTCAGTGGGGCCCTCCTAGGTATACACATGTAGTATTAGGGCTTGTATTTATTGGGGAAAAAATGAAGCCCGTTTATCAAGCCAGCTCTCAGCCTCGCGTACATCGAACATATAAATGACGCTAGAGTACCCGCACAACTGGGGGCTTCGCTGTTTGGAGACGATTTTGACCGCCAGATCGACTTACTCGAAGCGCAACAGTGTTTTTTTGGCTGATGGCGTCTGGTCAGCCGTCCACCTCTTTTAACTTTCGTGACGGCTTTGGAAGAGAATGACGGGTGGGGTCATGAGCCTACAAGGGGCCATCGAGCAGAGGGAGGGTTTCCTGGAGAACTGTGTGAATGAGGCAGACCAATCCTCTCCCAGAAACGAGATCCTAGACAAGAGTCAGACCAATCCTCTCCCAGATACCTAGCGCAATCGGGTCAATCCTCCACGTCCCCTCCTCGCTGCGCCGCCTCCTCCTCCCATCCACTTCTCTGCTCCTCCTCTCGAAGCCCCATTGCGTGGTCGCCGCCGTCGTTCGTCTCTTTCTTCCCACGACGCCTCCCCATCCTCCATCAGCCGTCGTTGGGCGCCGTTGTTCTGGACCGGTCGAATGTCGCTGCCAAGGAGCAGAGGAGGATGGCGGTGGGGTGAAACAGCAGAGGGGCACCGTCGTTCTGCTCACTCAGGGCGTGGGTCAGAGACGGACGAGGAGGCCGAGCAGTTCGGCATGCCGTCGCCTGCCAAGGTCTGGATCCTCCCCCCTCTTCCCTTCCATGGCAGCGCCCCGACCTGCCGCATCTTCCTCCTCGTAAGTCCAGGGGAGAGGAGTGACAGATTTGCCTTGTCTTGCGCGTCATCGGCTTGATAAGTTTTTTTCTAGCTTGGCAGACGGATGGGGCAGGCGAAGAAGAGTGGTGGATCTGCATCCTCGCTGCGGAAGGCTGCCGCTGTGCCGACTCCAACCTGTAGCCTGTTCCGGCTCAGGTTCGTCTTCGTTTTCCTTGGTAGGCACTGTCAGGAACATGAACAATTTGTTGCAAGATTTGAAAAATTGATAATCAAGTATTTCCTTCATTTGTGCTCCCTATAACAAGCATAAGGATTAAGGATTCTGTCTCATACTATCAGTAATAAGGACACTTCCACCGCTCAATGACGATGCTTTCTTGGAAGCTCATGAGTCTATCGTAACCATGTCTGCTAGGCATGCATGTGGATATTTACCCAAAAGTTTGCACTTGCATCTCATTCGGTTTGGATTTCCTATGGCTCAAGTTTGTTGCTGTGCTCAGGTTTCAGGAATATTGACATTGTTATCTTGACCCAAAATCTATTGCTGCATCCTGCAAATTTGTGGTCGAGTGTACAACTTACTTTCAGTCAGCAGCTATGCTTTTGCTAAAAGAAATAGATGTTTTAGAAAAACTAACAAAGTTTATGTCGGAACAACACTTGGTTTTATCAACTCCTAGTCTGACAATTAATTGATGTCATCTATTAACTACCAACCTGAAAGTTAGATGTTTCCATCTTTATATTCTAATTTGTTGTTTTTTGATTCACGATATATGGAGGAAACATAAAATGGTGGAGTGCATGATGCTTCACCAGAGTCTGCATTATCGTCAAACGTCTTCCATGAGGTTTGATTTGTTTACACCAGAATTTAGCTATGCTTCCATTTTTTCTTTTGTAGATTATCAGATTTTTCCAAAGCACCATAGTTTTGGCATGCGTCTGGAGCTTCGCCTAGAGAGGATGAAACGAAAGTTTTAAGTCCCACTAATTAGATCAAGCAATTGTGTTCTTGAGCTGGTGTGTATAGGTGCAGAGTCCAATTAGTTGTCCTTTGTGCATACACAAGAAAGCTGGAATTTGGAGTATAGACATAAAGCATTGAGACTAATAGCCAGAAACAGAACACAGCATGATGACCTCTTGCTTGAGTGTGACTCTTCTTCACATGTGACTGCTCTCGTTGGAATACCATCCATGCATGACATGTTAAGTAGAACAGAGCGTGTCATACTGCTCGGAATTGTTGTTGCCTCTAGAATGTGATGATCTGAGGGTGTGAACTATTTTTTGTGCAAATTACTTGTTATATAAACTATCTAGGTGGAGTTACAGGACATGAAGAAAAGACATGAGAAAGAAATAGAGTGTAAAATTTGCTATATGGATTAACATGGGAAAATCCCATGAGCCAACTTTTTAGAACTATGCTACAACTTTTATGAGGCCATATTTTTTGTTGAAATCTGCAGGTTATATGATGTGTACATGGCAGTGTTACTGAACAGAAGGAGGTGATTTCTTTGCTCTTTCTATTGAATAATATTGTTCTTCACTCTTTCTAAGCTAATGAATTTATTAATATTACACAACTTAATTAATGATTATTTCTTCTTTTGGTCACTTGGGTAAGATAGAACATGATGATGCTCTCTTAATTTAGTTTCTCCTCCGCTGACCAAAGCATATAGGAAACACCAGCAACCCTTCTGGTGAGCACCATGTCTATGAACTCATCCCATGCGTATTGTCCTTCTATGAACTGGGGGCATCCATGCGTTGCTAATAAGACATTTTCCATCCTTTATTTTGCAACTCTGTATCAGCAGTTCTGAGGAAGCGCTCAACCTTGACGTTGATGCGGAGCATCCCAAGGTCATCCCCATGGACCTAACATCGTCTCACCAAGTGCCTAGCGGACCGATGACTAGAGCTAGAGCTAGAGCTCTCGAGACCGAGGTGACCTCTCTCCTTAGTGACATTACATATGATCCTCTCGAGACATGGCTACTACCTAAGTCCGAGACATTGTGCATGATTAGGTACCAAGAAGACCCTCCTGAAGATGCACGTGAAGACGGACAAGCCGCCAAGTCCACGGATGAAGAGGAACGCTGGAAGGAGAAGAAGACACCTCCAGGACCCGGACATCCGGCCCCCAAGCCCTGACGTCCGGCCGCTGAAGACTCTAGCTACCACAGCCTTCCGGCCGCTGAGCCCCTACAGGCCTCGGACTTCCAGCCCCGTCATCCCGGACGTCCGGCCCCTCCCGAGCTCCCGGACATCCGGCCCCCCATCCCAGAAATCCGGACCCTCCCGAGCTCCCGGACAACCGGCCCCCCATCCCGGAAATCCGGACCCCTCCGAACTCGAGAGCAACAAGACAGCAATGCCAGCCCGGACATCCGGCCTTCCCAGCCTGGACATCCGCCCCGACGCCCGGACGTCCGGCCTCCCTTGTCTGCGCACAATAAAGGGACAAGGCTCGTGTATCCCTTCTCCCCCCTAGACTATATAAACTCCCCCTCATCCTATGTTCTAGGGTTAGCATTGGTTTAGCTCATTTGAGAGATAGAGCATTGCTCATCCACATCGGATCTACTCCAAGAGAGAGACCGCGGCCTCTACGGAGAAGATCTCTTTGGATTCAAGACCTCCTTGTGGAGAAGACATCAAGACCCCCTCTTGGGCGGCCCCCTCAAGACCTCCTCATGGAGAGGATCGTGCTACTTGCATCGTCCTTAGTTGTCCGTGTACCATGTATCGTTCTATGTATCTGAGGATCTAGCACTTGTGTGACTTGTTCTTGTTAGTTTGAGTGTTCCTCTTCGTTTTCCCTTGTGTTTCCCTCGTTTTCCCCTATGTGTTCTTTGTGTTCTTCGCAGGATTCCGCTCCTTTCGTGAAAGATAGGGCGATTAGGGTTCTACCCTACATCATCTTGGTATCTAGAGCCACGTTAATCACGATTTCGGAGCCTCCCCGTTGTGTTTCTAGCCTTGTTTTGTTGTTTTTCGTCCTAATTCGAAAATTGCCCCACAAAAATAGCCCAATTTTTTTTGTGATTTGTTGGTGTGTTGAGATTTTGTTGGTTTGGATCCGTGGATTTGCTTTGTTTTGAGTGGATTTAGCTTCCCATCCTTTTCCCCAAATTCCATCTTTAAATTCTTTTGAATTTTGCCCCGGATTTGACCTCCCCATGCGGTGTTCATCACATCCGTCCCCGGATCTAGAGCCCAGACATCCGATGTCTCGGACATCCAGCCTAGACATCCGGCCCCTGGCAGCAACATCTACATCCACCGTCCCGTTTTCCGTCCATATTTTCGCCAAATTTTGTTCCGGTGCCAACATATAGTTCTGCGTACCTCCACCACTTCCGCATAGCACCACTATATACCCCATAGACAACCACCGCTTACCAACACCATCTCCGACAATTTTGGTCCAATTTTGCTTTGAGAATTTGAGTTGCGGTACCGTATCCTTTTGTGTTTCGGCTATCTAGGTACGGTTCGACATCAACATCACCGCCGCTCGTCTTCTCCATGGACGCGTCATCAATAATGACCACATTGACTACACTTTGGTATTCGTGCTACCATTTTGACTCCATACCTTAAGCGAGAACTGTAACCTCGTCTTGGTATTGGATACATCATTCTTGCCATTACATTGATAACCATCATAGCCTTACTCCTTTGTGTCGCTTACCCATCGAGACTAGCCATTGAGTATTGCCAGCAACAAGACTTGTACACATTAGTGATCATACTTCCCATGGCATACATACATGATTGTTGCATATATTGGTATCATCTCTTGTGTCACAAAGTTGTCATCGCATACACAATTGCTATCTTGGTTCGTCAAGCATTGCATGAGAAGAGAGCTCAAACATCAAATAACCAAACAAGCTTTTAAGCAAATAGGAAAGATAAGCAAAGAGCTTTTAAGCAAGAACCATAGCATCATACAACATTAAGATTGTCATACTCGATCATCTTGGATCATATCATAGCAACACCTTGCATGGAGCATACTTGGGATAGAAGTCGTTGCATTTTTGCTAAGTAGGTTGTGCACAAGTTCTTGTATCCGCCTATTATGCAATCGTGCTAGCATCTCTCTAGTGTTGTGCAACAAGAGCATTTTTGTGGAAACCACATTTTGGCTCATCCTTGGTTGCCCAACCCCTCCTTTTGCGTGTGTGTTTCCGTGTACCTTATATGCTTGGTCTACTTGTTACATTGCATCTTGCGAATATTTTCCAACATTATTGAATCTCACTTACAATTGCATCAAATTTGTGCCACCATCCTAACCAAGCTCCACCATAAGCTTTTACTTGTGTACGTGTGAGAAACCGACAAGAACAAGTACCAATTGTGCTATTTCCTTGTCCTACATGAAGGAAATATGCCCTAGAGGCAATAATAAAGTTATTATTTATTTCCTTATATCATGATAAATGTTTATTATTCATGCTAGAATTGTATTTACCGGAAACATAATACTTGTGTGAATACATAGACAAACAGAGTGTCACTAGTACGCCTCTACTTGACTAGCTCGTTGATCGAAGATGGTTATGTTTCCTAGCCATTGACATGAGTTGTCATTTGATCAACGAGATCACATCATTAGGAGAATGATGTGATTGACTTGACCCATTCCGTTAGCTTAGCAGTCGATCGTTTAGTATGTTGGTATTGCTTTCTTGATGGCTTATACATGTTCCTATGACTATGAGATTATGCAACTCCCATTTACCGGAGGAACACTTTGTGTGCTACCAAATGTCACAACGTAACTGGGTGATTATAAAGGTGCTCTACAGGTGCCTCCAAAGGTACTTGTTGGGTTGGCGTATTTCGAGATTAGGATTTGTCACTCCGATCGTCGGAGAGGTATCTCTGGGCCCACTCGGTAATCCACATCACTTAAGCCTTGCAAGCATTGCAACTAATGAGTTAGTTGCAGGATGATGTATTACGGAATGAGTAAAGAGACTTGCCGGTAACGAGATTGAACTAGGTATTGAGATACCGATGATCGAATCTCGGGCAAGTAACATACCGATGACAAAGGGAATAACGTATGTTGTTATGCGGTCTGACCGATAAAGATCTTCGTAGAATATGTGGGAGCCAATATGAGCATCCAGGTTCCTCTATTGGTTATTGACCGGAGACATGTCTCGGTCATGTCTACAAAGTTCTCGAACCCGTAGGGTCCGCACGCTTAAAGTTTCGATGACGGTTATATTATGAGTTGATGAGTTTTGATGTACCGAAGGTTGTTCGGAGTCCCGGATGTGATCACGGACATGACGAGGAGTCTCTAAATGGTTGAGACATGAAGATTGATATATTGGAAGCCTATATTTGGATATCGGAAATGTCCCGGGTGAAATCGGGATTTTACCGGAGTACCGAGGGGTTACCGGAACCCCCCGGGGGGCTTAATGGGCCATAGTGGGCCTTAGTGGAGAAGAGGAGAGGCGGTGAAAGCACAAGTGCTCTCCAGGTGGTTTTGGTAATTAATGTCAACATATCTCTTGTTGGACTAATACTTTTATCTATATTTCATATAAGTTCAACAATGGAGTGGCATGGACTAAAAGTTGTGGGGACTCCTTCAAGATGCTAAGGACAAAGGATTGGCTAAAGCTTCAAGCTCAGGACTCCTCATTTTACACTTTTAGTGATCCAAGATCACATTGAGTCCATAGGAAAAGCCAATACTATCAAGGAGGGATGAGGTGTTGATAATGAGCCTCTTTCTCAAGTGCTTAATGATACGCTCCAAAATCCTCAGCTACTTTCCCACTTCCACATGTGACCTAAACCCAAAGCCAAACTCGGACCTACCGATTCTTTCAATCCGGCGCCACCGAGTTTCACTTGTCATCTGCCACTGCCAAACCCTAGCAATTCAGTCCTACCGATAAGGATCTCGGTCTCACCGAGATGGGATTGCAAACTCTCTGTTTCCCTTTCGTAACCTTTCGGTCTCACTGAAAGAGCGAATCGGTCCCACCGAGATTGCAATGTAAATTCTTTGTTTCCTTCTTGTAACTTTTTGGTCTCATCGAAAGAGCGAGTCGGTCCCACCGAGTTTACCTGACCAACTCTCTGGTTAGCTTATTTCCAAACTTGGTCTCACCGAGTTTGTGTAATCGGTCTCACCGAGATTACGTTATGCCCAAACCCTAACCGAATCGGTCCTACCGCGTTGCATGTCAGTCCCACCGAAATCTCTAACGGTCACTAGGTTTACCTTTTCGGTCCGACCGAGTTTGATGATTCGGTCCCACCGAGATTGGTAGATTGTGTGTAATGGTTGGATTTTGTGTGGAGGCTATATATACCCCTCCACCCTCTCTTCATTCAAAGAGAGAGCCATCAGAACACATACACCATTCCAACTCATATGTTCTGAGAGAGAGCCACCTACTCATGTGTTGAGACCAAGATATTCCATTCCTACCATATGAATCTTGATCTCTAGCCTTCCCCAAGTTGCTTTCCACTCAAATCTTCTTTCCACCAGATCCAAATCCTATGAGAGAGAGTTGAGTGTTGGGGAGACTATCATTTGAAGCACAAGAGCAAGGAGTTCATTACCTACACACCATTTGTTACTTCTTGGAGAGTGGTGTCTCCTAGATTGGCTAGGTGTCACTTGGGAGCCTCCGACAAGACTGTGGAGTTGAACCAAGGAGTTTGTAAGGGCAAGGAGATCGCCTACTTCGTGAAGATCTACCGCTAGTGAGGCAAGTCCTTCATGGGCGATGGCCATGGTGGGATAGACAAGGTTGCTTCTTCGTGGACCCTTCGTGGGTGGAGCCCTCCGTGGACTCGCACAATCGTTACCCTTCGTGGGTTGAAGTCTCCATCAACGTGGATGTAGGATAGCACCACCTATCCGAACCACGGGAAAAACATCCGTGTCTCCAATTGCGTTTGAATTCTCCAAACCCTTCCCTTTACATACTTGCAAGTTGCATACTTTACTTTCCGCTGCCTATACACTCTTTGCATACTTGCTTGATATGTATTGTGAATGTTGAAATTATGCCTAAACTCCACTTAAACCGAAAAAGCTTAAAATTGCAACTTTAGCATTGAGTGTCTAATCACCCCCCTCTAGACACACCTACTTCTAG